TTTACCAACCTAAATGACCGCTCAAATTATTAATCACTTTCCATTATCGGGGATTCATGATTTATGGTTAATCACAAAGTTAGCCAAATCTGGCAGGCTGGTTCTTTTGATGGACTGATGAATATTGTGAGTCTCTGACCCGGTCTAGTGACAGGCCGATCCAAGCCAACCTGCATGTTTTCTTTAAACAATACATTAATCCAACTATACTTCCAAAATAGATATTTGAAACAAATAATACTAATTATCTTGGTTCTTTCAACGCCAACTTTTTGTTTGTTTATGTTTTGCATTTACATGTGACCTTTTTTTGTTTTTAGAGAAACATATTTTTAATTATAAAGATATATGCAATGTTGGCGATTATGATTTTGTTTAGCATAATTACACACTAATGATGAAGAAACAAGGGCATTTCCAATCCATCTCTATTAAATAAATAAAAAAATAGCAATTTTTTTTTTTTTTTCCAAACGAATCTCTATTCCCAACTCTAAAATAGAGATTGCTATCTTCTATATATAGAGGAAAAAATGTAGATAACTCTAAAATAGAAATTGCTATCTTCTATATATAGAGGAAAAAGTGTAGAAAACTCTAAAATAGAGGAGAAAATAGTATTTTCTCTATAGTAGAAATACATTGGAGTGAAAATAAAAAATTGCTATTTTTTACTTTATTTTAGAGTCAAATATAGAGAAATATATTGGAGATGGTCTAAAATAAGCCAAAAGGGTGTAAAAGAGAGGAATGTGGAAATGCAAGTCACGACTCACACCTAATGTTATTATTTTTGGCTTTAGAAAATGAGGTTGCTTGCGTGTGTGAAACACAAAGAAGGTAGCAACTTCCATTACCGGTAAAACCTACTTACAAAAGCTTTTTTTGCTCATTACGTATATGCTTACACAATCTCTTCTTGATCGACAGTGACAAGACGAGAAACAAAATAAAAGGGTTCTTGACATTACAAGTGAATGGATCACAAAGTACACTAATGCAGAGAAGCTAATGACATTGTAAAAAAAAGGATCAGTCTTTGCAATCTGTTACACCTTCTGTTGATATTTGAAATCGAGCTTCCGCTTCAGGCAAACATGGCGAGCTTATCACTTTGCAGATTCTCTCCTCTGCTCTTCCTTTCCTCAAAGCCAACCTGTTATAAGATCACATCATAAGAAACACACTTTGTCACTAAACCCTGAAAGTAAAAACATGGATTCAAATCTGCAAACATTACAGAATACAGACCTTGTTGTGGTCGCATGAGCCATGATATTCCCACCAATTGGTTTAAATTGAGGACCAGCAAAGAGAGCAGAACCATCTACTTGTGCAACTACTTGGTTTGTTATAACAACAGCCACACCAAACTAGAGTGCCATCAAACATGCAGAGAGAAAATTCCAGGATTGTGGTGTCTCAGAATTTTGGAAAGCAAACGATTAGTACTGAATGTTTACCTCATCTGCTAGCTTTTGAAGACTTCTCAAGAACTTTGCAAGATGCATTTGTCGGGCAGAAAGCTCTCCCCTTCCAGAGAAATCTGTCCTGTAGAGAGCGGTAGCACTATCGACAATCACAAGAGCAAACCTGCGCCAATAGGGTCATCATAACTTTTACAGTCAGCACTCTCATGACGGACTTAATGGAACTGATGGAACTGAAAGAAACTCAATACACCTTGTTTCAATCATCATTGATGCTGCTTCAAGCAAAAGCCTTGACTGATGATCAGTATTATACGCCCTAGCATAGGCAACATTTTCCAGTACATCAGCTCCATTTAGTCCAAACCTGCATCAATTCAATTGATTCCTTATGAATAATTCTGTCTCAATAACCACATAATGATCTCACATGTGTTACAAAGATAACATACCTGTCAGCTATCTGTAAGAGCCTTTGTGGCCTGAATGTTCCCTCAGCATCGATGTACATCGCCTTTCCCTCTCCACCTCCTTGATCCATGGGAAGCTAATCATTTAAACATGAACCTTAACTTAAACATCTTTCTCAGTTTTGTGAAAATGTTAGAAGAAATTCAAGATCCCTGATCCCCTACTCAATAAGCAGCAATAGAGAGTAGTGAAACAAGGAAAAGGGTTCTTACTTGACAAGTTACACATAGTGTATGGCACAACTGCGTCTTTCCAGAGCGAAACTCACCATATAACTCGGTGATGGATCCAGTTTCAATGCCTCCTGTTAATAGTACGGAAGAGTAAGTTCACAATAACAAAATGCCGTTTTAAGATGCACCAAAAACCAGAACTAACCTTCAAGAACTTTGTCGAGCTCCCGTGATCCAGAGGTAATCTGAATGATCTCCTGTCGCTGGGCGTGGAGCTGGCTAGCACTAGTGAAACCCAGAGGAACCAGCTTCGAAGCTGTAACAAAAGTAAACAGAAATCAGAAATGAACTCCAAACAGAATCAAAGATGTGTTTATGTATCTAACAGAGAAGGAATGTAAATTGTTATCCATGTGACATGCCTGCTTCTACGATCTTGTCAACCTTGGCATCACTAATTCCTTTAATCTGCAATAGATCCTTCCTCGGAGTATAAGCAACACCTTCCACAGTACAGAGACCAGCATCCCTAAGCTTCTTTACATCAACAGAAGCAATACCTGCAGCCTGAAGTTTTGAAGGATTAAAGAGATGAAAGAGCATATAATAACCAAAAGATTCTAACCAGAAGAACAAAAGCACAATGATTCATCTCATTACTATCAATACAAAAATCAAAAAAGTTGAGAAGGCCACATAGATTATACGACATTGGAGTCACAGCAAGAGAGAAATTCCCCAGTATCGAACGGATTGAACATATACTCGCCATAGAGAAAAACCCCTAAAAGTGTTAATTTTATCTGATTTAAGCAAAACCCTAAAATAGTTTCACTCTATAGACCGTCGCAAACCCCAATTATCGCTCAGATTCACATCGCGAGAACGAACAAAGAGTTGGGGAAAAAAAAAGCAGAAGTCTTTAGCGAAATTAAGCCGAGCCCATTTCGATTACCACAAGATCTGGTGAAGCTTATGCAAAGGGAAGGTAAAATTTCGACTACAAAACCTAGAGAAACTGTACCTGAAGCTGTTCGACGGGGAAAGGACCGTGCTGAATCTCTTCATCGTCTTGTTGTTGAACAGGATTCTGATTTCTCCGCTGCTCCATTGTCGTCATCGTTCTCTATCAGAGCAGATTCGTGTGCAAACCAGAGAAATCGAGAGAGAGAGCAAAAGAGACCTTCGCGAGTGGAGGGAAATGGCGAAACTCTGAAAATAAATTAGAAGAAGCGCCACAACAAACCACTGATACAAGACGACTGAGCGGTGGGGCAAAGGCTTCTTCGACAAGTCTCGATTGTGTTTGTTGGGTCAGATTTCCTTATTGGGCCTTATTCGCCTCATCTCTTAAAGCCCAAACTAACTTGGCCCATTTCTTAATCGGTTACATTTTTCTTTCTTTTTTTTTGTCGTGATCAAGTTACAAAATTTACTTCGGCAAAACTGAAAATTTAAGGCAACCAATTCTTATTCAGACAATTGCAATAATGTTATTTTTAATGTGTACATTTGCAAAAAATTTAAAAATGGTATTTCAAAAGTGGCATTTCTTAAAATTTTTCATGACTCTGAACAAATAGCAGAAATCCGAGAAAAAAAATGCAGCGGATTAAATATTAATGAAATTA